TTTGGCATTGGTGAAAGGATGGCATGTCTGCTTGGGCACCCATGTCATTCTAACCTTGCATAAACAAACACTCTTGTTTATTCAATCTCTTGATTAGCCTAAGAGGTTGGAGTCTCCCCAGAATCTTCATGAATCACTGATGCTTCAGCTGGGATACATCTTAGCTGCAATTTTGGTTTCCTGATTTTTTTAAAAAAATGGAAACAATAGTGTGGAAAGGGTTTCCTAATGCAGCACTATTTCTCTATAAAAGCAAAGGAAAAGGTGTAAAGTCCTCGACTTGCGACCGGTCGGAAAGTCCTCGACTTATGATCAGGCAGCCAGCAAAAAATGGACAGCCGTGACGGGCTATGGCACGCCAGGCTCAAAGCGGGACTTTTGCAGCTTCCCTATTGGTTGCTCTGCTTGACAGCTCCTGTATAAATAGTTGTCAAGCAGAGCGTGGTGCTGAATTGCTTGTTCTCGTGTCAGTTTGCTGTTTAAAATAAAAGTTGCTTGTTTCATGGTTACCTCACGGAGTCCTCCCTCCCTTCCTTTAACCAGTTCACTACAAAAGGTTTCCCCTGTCCAGCTGCATGCCATGCTAGGGGATAATGCTCATTTCCATTTCTTAGCCTAGGGAGCCAGTCAGTGGTGGCATTCAAATTTTTTTACTACTGGTTCTGTGGGCGTGGCTTGGTGGTGTGGCATGGCTTGGTGGGTGTGGCTTGGTAGGCATGGCAGGGGAAGGATACCAGAGGTGGGTTGCTACTGGTTTGGCTGAACTGGTAGTAGTATGCTAGCCTGGTTTGCAAAAACCTGGCAGCGACCCAGGCTGGCCACACCCCCAAACCAGTTCCCTGGTCACTGCCACCATCTTTTTTTGGGGAGTTCTGCTTCCATTGAACTGTGTATGCATGTGCAGCGCGCAACCAGCAAAGAACGGGCATGAGCGAACTGGAAGTAACGCCGGCTAGAACCTATCCCTGAAGGATACTGTAAAATCTCCATTCCCTCCCGATCAGCTGGGACTGAGAATAGATGGGGGGTGGGGCCAGCCAGATGTGGTATTTACCGGTTCTCCAAACCTCTCAAAATTTCCACTACCAGTTCTCCAGAACTGGTCAGAGCCTGCTGAATACCACCTCTGAAGCCAGTGTTATCTGAAGACATTTCTGTGGTCATGTGGCCAGGGGGCATGGAATGCTGTAACCTTTCCATTGAATTAGTACCTATTTACAGTGGTGGGATTCAAATAATTTAACAACCGGTTTGCCCAGGGACATGTTGGCTGTTGTGGGAGGAGTGGCCCATCCCCATCCTCCAGCTCTGCTGCTCATGTGGGATGAGCCCCCTGTGATGGCCAACCAGACCCAGGGGGTTGTTAAACTACCCCCTCCCCCGCTATCAAACTGGATCCAGGAAGAAGGAAGACATGCCTACAACTCAAGAATGGACATTGAAAGTTACAAACTTAGCCGAGATGGCTAAAATATC